GAGGCCTACGCGCAGTGGTTGCAGGCGGATCCTTTGCAGCGGCTTCACATCAGGCCGCGGGCGGTGGAAGATGAAGGTGGTCGTTGGAGTCGGGTGGCTCAGCGGGCACAGGCCATGTTGGTGGCTGCTTTGCCACCAGGGTTGAAAGCGGAGGTGCTTGCGGAGCGAGCTGCAACGGCCTGGGAGATTCTGTTCCGGGTGTTTACAAGGTACCAGCCAGGAGGGCTGGCGGAGAGATCACAACTCCTCAGAGGCTTGGTTGAGCCGCGGGTGCCAACGACGCTGAGTGAGGTGGTGGATGGGGTGAGGACGTGGAAAAGGTGGCTTGCCCGGACCCGTGAGCTGAAGGTGGCGATTCCGGATGCTACGTTGCTGGTTGGAGCCCTGGATCGGTTCGTCGGGATGGTCACGAAGCATTCTGGCCAGGCGATGTTCAGATTGAATGCGGCACGAGCTGGACTGCGGGTGGACGTGGCTCCCAGTTTGGAGGCGGTGGCGCAGCTGGCGGACGTCGTCCTGGCGGAAGGAGAAGCAGCACTACACGGAGCTTCGACCTCATCTACTACAACCGCAAAGGTCAAGGCGCTGGTGACCAAGGATGGAGGAGGTTGGGAAAAGGGGAAGGACAGCCCAAAAGGAGGAGGGAAAGGCAAGGGCAAGGATGCTTCGGCGGCTCCTGTGTGCCGGTTCTTCCTCACGGATGGGGGCTGCAAGAAGGGAGCGGATTGCACCTACAAGCATGAGTTCGACGGGGACAAGCGTGGACGCTGTTGGAATTGCGGAGGGACTTCGCATACCCGCAAGGACTGCCCGGTGAAGGTGCGAAAGCCTCGCGATGGAGATGGCGGAGCCAAGAACTTCAGCGAGAACGATGTGAAGGGCCAGGCCGTGAAGAAGGTCGAGGTGGATGCATCGGCGCCTACTACCGGTGGAGGAGAAGGATCGCCCGCGTCAGGGGCAGGGAAGACATCACAGTCAGATGGAAGTGATGGTGAAGCAGTGCGGGGACTCATTCAGGAAGCAGCGGGATTGCTGAAGAGCTTGAGGGGCCCTGAGTTGAGGAGGATTCAAGTGAGCTCCCTGGAGGTTAAGAACAAGAGGGCGCTGCTGGATGGAGGAGCGACGCACAGCCTGAGGCAGTGTGTATCTGCACAAGAGTGGGAGGAGGCTCGGGAGGTCGAGGTGCATTTGGCGCAGGGGACGGTCTCTTTGCGGCTCATCCCGTGGACGAGGACGTTGCTGACCACAGAGGAGGTCCAGCCCATCGTTCCCCTGGGGTACCTGGTGCAGAGGGGCTACTCGGTGAAGTGGGAAGAGGACCGCTTTCAGCTGACCGATCAGCATGGGCGGACTCTGGACACCGCTTTGGAAGGAGGCTGCCCCACGGTAGATGAAAGCCTCGGGTTGGAGCTCATCAAGGAGTTGGAGCTGGAGGCGCTGAAGCACCAGATGCGGTTGATGGCGTTGAGAGGGAAGCCGTTGACGACGCAGGAGGAGGAGAAGGTTGGCCTGGAGATGGTCAAATGGCTTCGGAGGCTGAGAGAGCTATTTCCTGAAGTGCCGGAACGCATTCTGGAGCGGCTGCCCCCGAGGTCGGAGTGGACGAGTTTGCCGTGGAATAGGCGGACCAGGAGGAGGATTCAGAAGGCCAAGGAGGTCATCCTCCACCTTTATTCGGGCCCGGACGCGAAGTTCTGGGAGAAGGAGTTGGAGACAGCAGACAGAGTGGTGCTTTGCATTGATCTGGAGCTGGGAGAAGGCCAGGACGTTGGGAAGGACGGCGTGATGGCCTATCTGATGGAGCTGTGTGCTTCGGTAAAGGTGAAGCAGATCTTGGCGGGCCCTCCGTGTCGGACTATCTCAAGGATGAGGTTTGTGCAGCCGGGACCGCCACCGTTAAGGACGAGAGATGGAGAAGAGCGCTTTGGGCGTCATGGACTTCCTCAGGTGCTGATGGACAAGGTGGATGGAGATACGGTGCTCTGGTTGAGGCCGATGCTGCTGTACATGGTGGCGGAGGAGGCCAGTTCGTCCAAGGTTGGCTTCCTGGCGGAGAATCCACAGGATCCGGAGTCCTATGTGGAAGGAGGTCAAAGAGCCGCAGAAGCTCGGGAGCGGTATCCGTCGTACTGGGCTTGGGACGAGTGGAAACGGTTCAAGAAGGCCTACAAGATGAAGGAGTACCACTTCGATCAGGGGCCCTTTGGCCACGCAAAGACGAAGCCTACGACGATAGGCACCAACATGGAGATGCTCGAGCAGCTGGACGGTGTTCGAGGAGGAGGATCGGATAAAGGTCCGCTGGGAAAGACCTTGGAGGAGCGGATGGCGGCTTCGAAGAAATGGGCTGCCTGGGCGCCAGGGATGAAGAAGGCGATTGCCACGGCCGTTCGCATAGGCTTGGAGCAGGTGAAGCTGAAGGGGCTGAGTGCCGAGCAATGGAAGGCGCACTTGGCGAATGACCACCTCCCGTTTCATCGGGGATGCCGCACGTGCCTGG